AGCATGTCCCAATTTTGCTGATTTTAGATAATAACTAAATGCCTTTTGTTCATCTTTTTCAACTCCAATTCCATTTCGATAACAATAACCAACATCGAGTGCTCCATTAGAATTATTCATATCGGCAGATTTTTGATAATAAATGAATGCCTTATCATCATCCTTTTTAACTCCAATTCCATCCAAATAACAATCACCAACATTGTATATTCCAATAGCATTACCCATATCAGCAGATTTTTTATAATAAATGAATGCCTTATAAAAATCTTTTTCAACCCATTTACCTAAATGATAACACATTGCAAGAATAAGTTGAACCGTAGAATTTATTTCATCATTCAAGCACCATTTAATAATATTATCTGGATTTTGCTTTTTTTCAGCTAGAAATTGGTCCAATATTTTAATAATTAATTCACCACTTTTTCCTTTAGATGTTTCTTCATTATACAGATTGCACAATTCTTTAACAATTTCTCCAAGAAAATCTTGTGAATTATTATCTTCTAAATTCATTTTATTAAAATTATTAGTTGTTTTAGTAAAAATATTTTCTTTGACATTTTGAAGCAAAAAAAAAAAAAAAATCTGCAATGTTACGTTGAGCAAAAATACGTATAATTTTGCATATCACATGTAGAATTACGTAGTACGGAGTACTGTCAAACCTAAAACTAACCTTTCAAATTGTTATAGCATCTACGATTTTAGAAAGGATTGAGTGAAGGCGTTGAAAGAGGCAAAATCACGATTTATCAATAAAATACATGAGTCAACTCAAATATTAAACTCAAGATTTATTAGAGTATACAACTCTATACTTTATTATTATTCGAGTGCAAGACTGTCGATTCCGTGAAGGATATAAGGGTAGTGTTATGAAATAGAACAATAAATGTAATAGATTAGTTGGTTGAATATTTTTTAAAAAATCGATTAAAAATCAATTATTGTTAACTAATCGATTAATTGATTAATTGATCAGTTGATTAATTGATTAATTGTCTAGTTGTTTAATATTCTTTAGCTTCTTGGTATTGTTCATTCGTGTAGCAATTTGAATGGATTTGTATTATCAGTGGGGTCATCGTGACCATGTACGATTGGGGTGTCAGACAAATATAGTGCAGGTGACATAGCGATAGTGATAAGATTTTACAAGTCTAACAGGTTAGTGCCAGACTACCAATCAGATTTCAAGATCAGGTGTAACGTTACACAATCAGGAAAATTCAAAACAAACGTTCGCTTTGTTAAAAATCGTCAAGCTTCTCTAACCCTAACCTTAGCATAGACCCTAACCCTAATCTAAACGAACTTAAAGAATTTTGCATATTCAGACATATGATCGACAACATAGATAAGGGTTTGCTAACGGATAAGTAATCCGGATAAGTAAAATTGTAACGGATAAATTATCCGGATTTATCCGGATATCCGGTTATTGTTTTGAATTTTTCTGATCGTGCTACATTATACCGGAACCTGATCTTGAAATCATAACTTAATCCTATTCTTATTAAATTTGTTTAATTGTTTTTTCATATCGTCACAATACGTAATAATTTTTCTGCGTATTATAAAAAAAACGTATTATTTTGTTTTTTAACTTTAAATAATTATTTAGCCGGGTAGGCTATTAGCGTTGTTGCATAAAGCATTTTTGCATTTTTGCATGTATCACTCTAGGCTCTTCATATTCTGCTGAATTATGTAGAGTTTATGTTAGTCTACTCACCTAATTAGTTTGATTGTATTTTATGTCCATCAAGACTTTAAACTGAAAACTACTTGTTTGCTTTATGTGTCTATCAAGACCTTAAACTGAAAACTTTAAATTCAGAAAATCGTAAACAATTTACTGTGAACGATTTTTTCTGTATATAATACTGTACTATTTATCTATTTTTTTTTTTTGGGTTATCATTAGCATCAACCTCCACGTGGTATGACCTGGACTTTTATATGACTAAAGGATGCTTATTAGGCCAAAAAATTCGTTTAATATTCTCTTCGTAAAAAAACGGGTTAAGTTCTTATGAATCGCTTGTGTTTATACTATAGGTTGGATAAAATATCCAATATTTCTGTTCGTTAATTTAATTTTTGATACTGTATTTGGTGCTATTGTAGAAATGGAATTGGAGTTGAAAAAGATGAACAAAAGGCATTTAGTTATTATCTAAAATCAGCAAAATTGGGACATGCT